TTTTCTCAAAATGTTGACCGAAGTCAAACTTAGCACTTTAAGGCCAACTTAAGAAACCAAGTGTTCCGGTTTCACCTCAAACACTTCCAAATCCCGAACCAACCATCCCCGCAAGTCATAAATTATTACAAGCACCTACGAAAAGTTTTATTTTAGGGAATAGGGTTCTAAAAGTTAAAATGACCGGTTGGGTCATTACAGTTTTTGCACGAACTTCATGGAATCCAAGCCTTTCAATATTGGTGGTGCTCCTGGTATTTGATCCACCCTGGAATTATAAGTTTCCACCTTTTTATCGTTGGCCTCCATCTTCTTCTCCCCTGATTCTATCTGCTTCGTCAATTCCTCGAGCTTCTTTATAATCTCAGGGTTAGCCCCTGTTTCATTTTCGTTCGACCTTTCTGTGACCGGTTGATCCTTGCGGGTGACTTCCCAGGGAGGATCGGGCTCAACCCTGCTAGGCGCATGGTTTTGGTTTTGTAACTGGGCTATTGCCACCTGTTGTACCTACAACATTTCAAAGATCACTCGTAGACTGATATCTTTCCCTTTAACATTTTGTGTGTTTCGAGTTACCGATTGGGTTCCACCACGAATGTTATTTTCGGGGTCAGTAGGCAAGTTTGTATTGATAGCCACATGTGAATTAGCATCAATCGGATCTACGATCAGAATTCCAGCGGGATCAGCAGGTGATATCTCATTACCGGGTGCTATGTTATTATTTTCATCTTGGTGACCAGACTCATTGTCAACGTGCAGAGGCGCTGATTGGAAATTTGACATTTTTTGTATTTTAGCCTGGAATCAAAGACACTTCAAAGAGCAAGTGTAAAGCATTATGTATTATATAGATTTATATCAAATAATCACTATTATCCTCAGTCCCACGGTGGGCGCCAAACTGTTTACCCTAAAATCGGATAACAATTGAATTTATACGCGATTTTAAGGATACGTGATATAACTTGATACGAGTTGAGAAGATAGATCAATACTGAAATTAATAACAAGAAAATAAATGCAAACCGCAGAAATTGAACAGTCTTAGCCTCGAAGGTTGGTCAGCCTCAAGTTTGAAAATGCCTCAATCGACGACAGAACAAGTTAACAAGATAACAAGAACTAGAAATGATCAATATATTGCTTCTTTGATATGTGTTACAACATCTTGTACAAATGATCATACCTCTATTTATATAGTAGGGGAGCCCTACTCTTGATACAATTCTCTAAAAGGTAAAAATCTCGTGATTTGCTAATCAATCGGCCTCTCCTTGATATGTGCCGAGATTTTTGCCGTGATCTCCAACTGATCGCGGATATTTTAGCTTTCCGTTATTTGGATCGACAAAGTCCCCTCAATCTTGTTTGGTCCCGGAGTCACGAGATCAACGATTTAACTTAGCGCCTGGGTTCGATATAATCCGGGGTCGAGCCCCGACCCGTCATGTTTCGATCTCGGATGGTTGTACAAAATACGAGCCCGGTTCGACCGTATACAGTTATATTATGCTATTGTTTTATATTTTAACTAATGATTATTATATAAAAATTTAGTATTTTTATTATGTTTTAAATAATTTGATTGTACATATAATTTTTGACATTATCACGCAAATATCAACTTCATTTAGAAATAGTTGTGCAAGTTGTGAAAGCTGAACCCTTGGTCATGGTTTTCAGTGTCGGACTGATATTGTTCTCAGTTGTTTGGTTTGTCATCCTACCTATTTTTTGTTGAAACCTGAAGATTTGTTATGTGTATGCTGAACATATGTTACAACGTAAAAATGCAAGGATAAATCCTATTCCTATATCAAGTCCATTGAATTTCGCTTTATGATTTCTTTTATCATTTTTTGGAGGCCACTCAGAAATTGGAATCTCCTAAATTTCTCCCGTTCACCATCAAGATTCTCTCCTTTCATACTTTAATCGTACATAGTGAGGGAGGACCTGAACTGTGTTTTCCATTTTACAAATGGACAATTTAATTTTTTTTTGGTAACTAAACAATTTTATTTACCAAGTAATATTTACATAGTATTTCTCTCTATATCATGATTTGGATATAAGTTCCAGATTCAGCTTGATTTCTCTTTCTCGTACCTCCAAACTACTATACCTGTTTTTTATATATCCATATGAACAACAGGGTAGTAGTTTAACTCTAATAGCCTTCCCTTCAATCTTTGTTTCCTGTTCCCTCGACAATGAATTTCTTATACTAGTAGTCGAGTAATTGTTGCAACACTCCTCTGTCTTGCTTGAAATATTCGTGCATTCCTCTCTTGCCATATATAGTATATACTTCCAGCTAGTGTCATTCTGTAGACTTCTTCTTTAAAACTCCTTCCTTTGTAATGCCTTTCAGTCCATTCTAATTCATGTTCCCAAGTCATCACCTGCCTATGAATTCCTTGCCAATCCAGCATTGCTTCCCATACTTGTGTTGAAAATGAGCATTTAAAGAATAGGTGATCAATAGTTTCTTTTTCTCTATTGCATAGTGGGCAGGTTGTATCCTCCAAGCAGCCCCATCTCCCTAATCTTTCTCTTATTAATAATCTTCTGTGTGCAGCCAGGAATAGTGTGAATATCCACTTAGGAAGCCCAGCATTGTTGCATGTCATCCTTCTTCATGTTACCTTTGTAAAGTCACTTCTAAGTTTCAAGTACATAGCCTTGATTGAGAATTTTTCCATTCTAAGCACCTCTTCTTCTGAGTGCCCAGCTTCCTCAAAGTGTTTCTTTGCTTTTAGTATCTTCTGGACCACCCACGATGCTTGCTTTGGCTCAGCGCCCCAAATAGAAGTGTATCTCTTATAGTATAGGTGGACCCATTGTATCCACATTTTGTCTTTCTTCTTGCATAAATTCCATAACAGTTTGCAGATGGTTGCTCTATTCCATATGCCTATGTCCAGTGTATTCAATCCCCATGCTGCTTTTGGCCAGCATAATCTATCCCAAGCCAGCAGTGCATTTTTGGTTACCTCCACCCCTCCAGTCCATAAAAACCTTTTGCACGTACTCTCTATTAGTTGGATCAATTTCTTAGGCAGCATAAAGACCTGTGACCAAAACACTTGTATGGAGAATAGTACGCTCTTAATCAGTTGGATCCTTCCTGCATATGACAGAAATCTGGCAGTCCATGATTGTATTCTCCCTAGCATCTTCTTAATCAGTGGTTGACATTGTACCAATGATAGCCTTTTAGTACTCAGAGGCACTCCCAGGTATCTCACTGGTAGAGACCCTTTAGAGAAGCCTAACACTTGTAGTATTTCCTGTTGAATCTCATCCCTGACTCCCCCAAAGAAGATAGAACTCTTGTCAGCATTCGCACCTAAGCGAGAAGCATGAGAGAATCCTTGAAAGCATTGATATAGTAGCTACACAGATATAGTATCACCTCTACAAAAAAGCAGAAGATCATCAGCAAAGCTAAGTTGTACTATGTTCATTTTAGCACACTTAGGGTGATAGTTGAAGTTTGGATTCCTCTTTAGTGTCTTTAGTAATCTAGTCAAGTATTCCATGGCCAATACAAATAGGTAAGGAGATAAGGGGTCGCCCTGTCTCAATCCTTTTTTTGCATAGAATGGAGTTGTATGTTGACCATTGATGATGACTTCTCACACATTTCATCATCCATTGAACAAATCTTCCATGCATTTGCAAATTCGTTAGAACTTGCTCCATATAGTCCCATTCAATAGAGTCACAAGCCTTCTTCAAATCAACTTTCAGCATGCATCTTGGGGATAAGCCTTTCCTGCCATAACCATTAACTAGTTCATGGCTCAATATTATGTTGTCATTTATCAGTCTTCCAGGTATAAACGCAGATTGATTCTTATCGACTATGTCATCCATTATACCTTGTAATCTGTTGGTTATCACCTTAGAGATAATTTTGTATAGTAGGGTGCAACATGATATTGGTCTGTATTCCGTAATTCTAGAAGAGTTTTTCACCTTTGGCATAAGAGTAACTGTTTTGCAATTGATAGGCTGATAGAGGTTAGCACTTGTAAATAATTCCATCACTGCATCTGTAACCTTGTCTCCAATCACAAACCAAGCCTTCTTTAAAAAGATTGCATTGAATCCATCACAACCAGGTGCTTTGTTGTCACTGATACCTAGCAGTGCCTGGTATACTTCCTCTTTAGATACATCTATCACCAATTGAAGTTATCGTTATCTATTCACCAATGGTCCATCCATCATCACTACTGGATTAATAGCAGGCAAGCTTTTAGCTGATGATCCCAGTAGCTACTTATAGAAGCCAAGTACTTCCTTAGTCTGCACCACATTCCCATTGACCCTTATTAGGCTCTTAATTTTGTTCTGAGAATATCTGTTTTTCATGCTTGCAAAGAAATAAGCCATGCTAGCATCTCCTAACTTCAGCCAATGTTCTCTAGATTTTTGTTTCATGATACTTTCTTCCACCCCAAGCCATTTCTCTAGTTGTACCTTTGTGTCTTTTTCTGCTATAATCATATCTTTAGATTACCCAGGGTCTCTCATTTGTTCCTGTAATTCACAGAGTTGCTACCTGCGTTGTTTAATCTTGTCACCTATTGCACTATATTCTGCTTTATTCAGATCTTTCATAGCTTGCTTCACCTTTTTCAGTTTATGCCAGACATCCTTCATGATATTTATGCCATTACTCCCTTGCCATGATTCATTAACTTTGGACAGAAAGTCTTTATACTCAGCTAAGTGATTTAGAAACTTGAAAGGCTTTGGATATTTACCCTCATTATCTTCAACAGTAATACACAGGGGAGAAAAATCAGAACAACCTGGATCCATTACCTTTACTTCTAGGTATGTCATTTGCAACATCCATTCAGCATTCATAAGGCTCTATCTATTTTGCTGTATGTGTGACCATTTGTCCAGGTGAAATTCCTTCCACTAGTTCTAACTTCTGCCAAAGCATTACCCTCAATGAAGTTATTGAAATTCCTTATCTAAATCTTTTGTGCAGGGTTTCCAATTGGTCTATCATCCCCTGATCTGATAGCATTGTAGTCTCCTATTATTAGCCATGGCCTCTGTTTCACATTATTCCACCCACTCAAGTCACCCCATAAGCATCTCCCATCTTCTATTGTATGCAGGCCATATACTGCAGTGAAAGTGAACCTCATGCTCATACTTTTGATGTGTACTGTAGTACGAATGTATTGGGAGGAGTTCCCTAATTCCAAGCACTTTATATCATTTGTATCCCATAGTATCCAAATTCTTCCTCTACTACTATGTTCATAATTGGCAAACCAAGCCTATACCGGAGTGATTTTCCTTATTATTTGTGTGGCATTCTGTTCCTTTATTTTATATTCTAGTAGTGCTATCATATTTATTCTATTACTTCTTATAAACCTCTTGACCTTTTTCTGCCCAGGGATTTTGTTCAAAGCCCTAATATTCCATGTAACAAGCTTCATATAGGAATGAATAGAGGTTGTGGCCCTCCTTCCACCCCTTCTTGGCTACTCTGTCTACTTGTACCCTCCAGATTCTGCCAATATGTTGAAACCATTAATCATGCTGATTGCATCATCTCCTGGCTTCTCCCTGCTTCTAGTTACTGATTTCCCTGTAGTTTTTTTTCATTCATGTTCCTGCTCTCCTCTAGCTAGTCTCGTAGGTGAGCTTACATTGTTATCCTTTACCTCAGTGAGTACTGCTACCTCGTTGTTGTTATTGGCTACTGCAGTTGGCTAACTCCCCTTATCATTTTGAATCATATTGGGTTGACATTCTTGCTTTTGCTTCTGCTTCTTGGTTTTAGCTTTAGGTGCTGGTTGCTCTCCTTTATTATACTGATGTCCCACTTGCAAGCAAGTGTGACAAAACTCAGGAACCCAGTCATAAGCAGCCTCCTTCATGAATTCTCTCCCATTAGGGTCTGTTACCTTTATAGCTTTGGGAAGATCTTTAGTAACATCCATTTTAATTAGCACTCTAGCGTAGGAAATTCGATCCAACTGAGTGGTACATGCATCTGCATATAGGGGAATCACTAATCTGTTACTTATCCTGCTCAATGACTTTGCTCCCCAACAATTGAGTGGGAGATTAGGATACTTAACCTATACAGGAATAATCTGCAACACCTCTTTGTTGAAATCAAAATCAGCTGATCATACTTTCATGATAATCGATTTATTTTTTAGCATATGAGATCCAGAATACAGAACTTCATCTCTGTCACTGATAGAGTTAAATCTTACAATAAAATATCCATCATTATGGAAATAGACTTTTGGTTTTGTTGTAAAATTCTATGCTGAAGCAATGAATCGCTCCATAGCTCCTATGGTTGGGGTGCCTCCAACTACATAGAGGATCAATGCTTGTTTCCACTTATGTGTCTCCGCTTCTACTTCCTCCTTACATAGTTCAACTATTACCTCACCATTTTTTATGGTTGGTGCAATGAAGCTTAGATCCATTCCTTTCGCTGCCATCCTGTTACCTATAAACAAGTTTGCCCACTTCTTTTGATCTGGTTCTGTATTCTCAGTAGTTAATTTGTCTTGTCTCTTATCAGTGCCCTATCTGCCCTCAATTTCCCCCAAATTTTCAGCAATTACTACTGGATTACTCACATGCATATCAATTTGCTTTGATCTAGGGTTAACCTCTTTCAACTAATTTCCAGCGGTTGTCTTCTCACTCTCAATTATCGGTAAAGTAGTCATAGTAGAAGGTATTTTCATACCTTCCTTCATAGCTGATAATAGCGTCCACTTTTCCATTGGAGTTTCCTCTTCATCTTTTATCTGAGAATTCTGAGTTCCAATGCTTTGAGTGTTATTACTAGTTCCCGTAGACTCTGCCCGATGAATCGTGACTGCATTTTTCTTTGTCCTACCTCTTTCCATTGCTGGCCAGCATACGTTAGCAAGAGCACGCTATCGTGTGCTGAGAGAGAAGAGATTCAGGTCCTAATTATACACAATTTGTAGTTGAGCTTGTATTGATAAGGTCAATTTAAATTTTTAATATATCTAAAGGTGGATATATATGTTAGAAAAACAAAGGGGGGATATATGGGATTTTTTTGGTCCCCAAATTATATTCTGTGAATAATGATGGAGTAGGAGTCCCCGAGTTAATCTTTGATTATTTTGTTTTATTTTTCTTTAAACTAGTTGGGTGCCAATACTAGGGGCGAACGTAGAAGGTAATTTTTTACTTCAAATAAATCCAGTAGTTTAACTCAAACATTATATGTGTATTAAAAAATTACTGAATAATAATAAATAATAGGTTTGGAAAATAGTAAATCAAATAGAGTATAATAGAATTATGAACTTAATCTATAACGTTCAAATCTTAGATTATTTTGACTGGTAAAAGGGCTAAAGGAGATACTGCAAATGAAAGTGATGTCATATCACCATTCCGCCAAAGATATGAGTTAGATGATCCCAATCATGAGGTAACGATAATGCCTGGTTGATGGAATAACAAATTGTATGTTCCCAAAATATTAGGTCCACTACAATTTGTAAAAGAATTTAGCACCAGTATAACCATCGATTTTGGGTACATTTTTTCTATAAAAATTTGAAAATGCTATTTGTTCATGGAATATTGTCAATTAAAAAAATTTAATTTTTTTAAAGTTCCCAAAACTGGTTTAGGATAGTTTTTCGGTGAAATTTTTTCTTCTACTCACAAAACTTCAAGTTTTTTGTAAAAAAATAAAATTATTTAACTTAAAAATCGAATAACAATTGAATTTGTAAGTGGTTTTAAGGATACGTGGATTGACTTGATACAAAATAATAAATTAGATTGCAATTTAAATAAATAATGATAAAGTAAATGCAAACCACACGAATTGAACAATTTCAGCCTTGGAAGGTTAGCCACCCTCGAGCCGAATGCACTTCGATCGGTATCAAGACACAGTAGAATAAAAGCTTAAAGAGAATAATAATAATGTATTACTTTGGAATGCATGTTACAATGTCTTCAATAAATTATCAGACCCCCCATTTATATAGTAGAGGAGTCCTACTTTAGGTACAATTCTATAAAAGGTAAAAATTCCTTGATTTGCTAATTGTCGGTTCCTTACTGATACGCACCAAGATTCCAGCCGTAATATCCGACCGGTCATGGATGTTTCTTTCATGACCCAAAATCCCAACCTATCGTGATGGCGCCTATCTCGATACTAGGCAAGCCGAAAATCTCAATAAACCAAAACTTCTCTTTAAGGTTGAAAATATAATATTTAAATACAATACAAACACTCTCTATAACTTGGTGTCACTGAGTACATGAGCATCTAATATAAATACAAGTCTGGAAAATATAATCTATAATAGTCTGAGACCAAATACAGTAAACAAAGAGATAGAGAAGGAGAGACAAGGTCTACGGAACATGACAGCTACCTCAAAATCTCCTGAAAATCAATCGCACGAAAGGATCAACACCCGCTATGTCCGAGAATACCTGGATCTGCACACGAAGTGCAGGGTGTAGTATGAGTACAACCAACTCAGCAAGTAACAATAATAAATAAGGAACTGAAGATAGTAACGAGCTACACAGTTATGGTTCATTTTCAGTAATTCCAGCAAAGAATAGACATGCTATCAAATCTGGCAGTTTAATGTCAAATCAATTTTTATACAGTTCTTGTTCATGTAATCTGTATCTCAACAATCTTTCAGAGATTTCACAACAATGACAGATATCAACTAAGTGCAACGACAAATGGAAATCAAGTACAACCTCTTAGGACAACAATCACTCACTGGGCTCCCAGCCCTCATCACTCACTCTCAATAGGTACCCACGCTCACTGGGGGTGTACAGACTCCGGAGGGGCTCCTACAGCCCACGCTCTATAAATTGCACGGACAATTCACGTGCTGTACGGATAACTCACGTGCCATAATATAAATATCTGGATCCGCACGACCAACTCACGTGTTGCACGGCTAACTCACATGCTATAGTATAATATAAGGATCCGCACGGCCAACTCATGTGCTGCACGGCCAACTCATGTGCTATAGTATCAATATCTCACAGTCAGGCCATCGGCCTCACTCAGTCATAATCTCTCCAGTCTCTCGGGCTCTTAATAATCATGAAACCATCCCAAACAACAATGATATGATGTATCAATAATAATAACAGAGACTGAGATAAAATGTGCAAGTAAAAGCTGAGACTGAGTACATATAGCATTTAGCAGGCAATTCAACAAGTACGCGACCTCTGTGGGTCCCAACAGTACTATCACATAGCCTAAGCATGATTTCTAACATGATTTACAGTCAAATTTTATCAACACATAGAGAGCATATAGCTAACAATAAATTATTCAACTTTACAGTTTCCCGGGACGGACCAAGTCACAATCCCTTCGGTGCACGCCCACACGCCCGTCACCTAGCATGTGCGTCACCTCCAAAATAATCACATGATACCAAAATTCGGGGTTTCATAACCTCAGGACCAGATTTAAAACTGTTACTTACCTCAGAGCGTGAAATTCTTTACTCTGCTATGCCTTAGCCTCGCAAATCGGTCTCCGAATGCCTCGAATCTAGTCACAAATAATTCATTTCAGTCAATAAAATTTATTGGAATTAACTTCATAAGAAAATGCTAATTTTCCATAAAAATCTGAATTTTAGCTCAAAAATCGCCCGTGGGGCCCACGTCTCGGAACTCGACAAAAGTTACAAAATCCGAAAGCCCATTCAACCAGAGTCTAACCATATTAATTTTATCAAAATTTGACTCAACTCGACCCTCAAATCTTCAAT